TAATTACAATTCATATACTTATAATTATAAGAATTATAATTGTAAGTATAATTATAATTACATATAATTATAATATAATATTATAATAATATTAATCATATTATTATTATTATTATTATATTGTAATAATAATAGTCTTCTTAATAATTGCATTTATATTACTATTATTATATTAAAATATTATAACTATATTAATATCTTATTTTTTTATCATATTATTATTAATATTATTAATAATAATTATATAATAATAATCATAATAGTAATAACAATATTATTAATAATAATAATTAATATAATAATAAAAGTGATAAATCATGTTTGAACTTTTCTGATCTGATCTGATCTGAATGTTTCTGATCTGATCTGAATGTTTCTGATCTGGTCTGATCTGATCTGAATGTTTCTGATCTGATCTGAATCTTTCTGATCTGATCTGAATCTTTCTGATCTGATCTGATCTGATCTGAATTTTTCTGATCTGATCTGATCTGATCTGAATTTTTCTGATCTGATCTGATCTGATCTGAATAAAATAAGAATAAGTAATAAGTAATAAGAATAAGACGAACAGAACAGCACCTGAGAGAGTATGTGTAGTTGTCTCTTGATCCTCGATCATAGCATGCTTAGGGGACCTACTCGGTTTGGTCTGGTACCGGGCCGATACCAAACAGTACAGGTCCATTAATTATTATTATTTAAAAATCAATTATTAAATATAGAATATCATTTTGTCAAATAGTGAAATTGCAAATATATTTTAGCGTTTCTAGTTTAAAATGATTAGGAAATTGAATTGAGATTTTGGGATTGTACTACGGTAAAAATATAAAATTCACAATATGTTTAAAAATGAGGCCTATTATAGATCACTCATCTCGACGCCTTGAAACCGTCAAGACCAACTGACCAGCCTTGCATATCTCATTCAACTTTGCCATATTTCTGTTTTTTATTTGTCTAAAAAATTTCATTCGTTCTCCTTTTAAAATATTGAATTTGTAATTCTATTTATTTATCTGTACTCTACACAAACTTCAACCTCATATTTTTTCTCCGATTTTACCCCTAATAATTGTAAGCTCGAGCAGAGGTAATATTAACTACAAGTTGACCCAACAAGTAGCTGGCTAAGCTCTCAATAATGTATATCTCTCGATCAGTTAAGCCCCACCCCGTGCTGCCACCTAACGATCGAACATAACATTAGCCTTCAATTCTAGCCATTCCTCTTCCAAGTACGTACCCTAATGTGTATATATATTCAATTCACGTGTCTCATCAAATCACTACAAATTTAACCCATATACATGTGTACGTAGACGCTTCTCATCAAATCACATCTCCATCTCTCAACTAAATTTATCCATTATGATTTGAGTGCCCAAACAAGAAAGAGGATGGTGTTATTGAAAACTTGAAATAGGTGAAAAATAATACGGACGTATATATAATGTGAAAGAGAAATCTGTGAAATATGATGACAAATACCATTGTAGTATTTGTATCACTATCACGCTCCAAAGTAACCTCCATAGGAAGCTTAAGAGGCTGTTTGGTAGACCAAAAATGGGCTGATCAGCCTTAAAGTGGAAAAAAAATGCCAAACACCTGTTCGTTGGGCTGTTGTGGCTGATTTTCCTTATCAGATGAAAAAACAAGCTCCCCCTTACTTTTTGGGCTGAAAACTATTATTTTACTGTTAGATATTGCAAAGACCCCTATGCCCCTGTATTATATCTGGAAACTGGCTCTAATCATTCGCTTGTTTTCAATGGTTGGGCAACTATAGAATAGGCAGGATGCGGACTGGTTTTCTGAGTTTATTGTCGACGACAAAACAAGAAAACATCCCTATTTTAAAGTACATAAACAGAAAGAAAAACAAATTCAAATTATAAAATCCTTGTTAAAGAACACAACTTCTGGATTTATAGCTAGTAAAAACAATGCGGAGTATATCAAAATGTTCATAGTAAGGATAAGATTAGTCCTGGATGTTTAAGGGCATCTGGGCATGGAATCAACGAATGTTGGAGGTTGGAGATAGAATGGTCATCTGGTCCTTCGGCACTTCAATCGACAAATGGGAATCGCTGATGGCAGAGTAATTTATATTCTTAGATCTAACAAAACAAACTAATACCCTTTTTGGTAATTTTACATTTAAACAGCCATATCAGCCAATATATCACCAAACAATTTCACTTCAGCAGATTCAGCCATTTCAGCAAATTCAGCCATTTCAGCCGTTAAAGCCGTTACCAAACAGGGCCTAAGTTGAGAAGCAGTTCCGTTCACCTGATCTGAATGTTTCTGATCTGAATTTTTTAAGTTCTGATCTGATCTGATCTGAATTTTTCTAATCTGATCTGATCTGAATCTTTCTGATCTGATCTGATATGAATCTTTCTGATCTGATCTGAATCTTTCTGATCTGATCTGAATGTTGCTGAACTGATCTGAATGTTGCTGATCTGATCTGATCTGAATGTTTCTGATCTGATCTGAATCTTTCTGATCTGATTTGAATATTTCTATAATTGTAATTGTAATTACAATTATAATTATTAGATTTATAATTGTAATTAAAAATATAACTTAAATAAAATTACAATTATAATCATAATTATAAAAAAAAATAATTAAAATTAAATTTAAAATTATAATAATTATACCAATTACACTAATTATAAATACAGATACAATTATAAATGTAATTATATTTTTAATTATGATTAATTTTATAATTATTATTATTGTAATTATAATTATAATATTTATTTCTATAGTCATAATTATGTCTATAATTACTAATTTAAATATATAATTACTCCGAAGTAATAATAATTACAACAATAACAACAAGAACAACAATCATATTAATAATAATGATGATTATAATTATAATTACATTGTAAATCATAATTATAATTATAATTATATTATATTATATTATATTATATTATATTATATTATATTATATTATATTATATTATATTATATTATATTATATTATATTATATTATATTATATTATATTATATTATATTATATTATATTATATTATATTATATTATATTATATTATATTATATTATATTATATTATATTATTATAATATAATAATAATTTTATATTATTAACATTATTATTATATTATTATTAATATTATTATTATATTAATATATTAATATTATTAACAATAACTATAATATAATAATCATAATTAATATAATAATAAAAGTGATAAATCATGTTTGAATTTTTTGACCTGATCTGATCTGAATGTTTCTGATCTGATCTGAATGTTTCTGATCTGGTCTGATCTGGTCTGAATCTTTCTGATCTGATCTGAATGTTGTTGATCTGATCTGAATCTTTCTGATCTGATCTGAATGTTTCTGATCGGATCTGATCTGATCTGAATCTTTCTGATCTGATCTGATCTGAATCTTTCTGATCTGAATCTTTCTGATCTGATCTGATCTGATCTGAATAAAATAAGATTAAGGATTAAGTAATAAGAGTAAGACGAACGGAACAGCTTCTGAGTGACGAATCTTGCAACTTCAAAATTATTTTAAATTTGCTGGTCTGGTCTGGTCTGTGTAAGTCTGGTCTGGTCTGGTTTGGTCTAAACTAGTCTTGTCTGGTCTGGTAAACATCTGGTCTCTGTGTATTTTATAACTATCCAAGTCTGGTCTAGTCTGGTCTGTTTAAGTCTGGTCTGGTCTGGTCTGGTCTGTTTAAGTCTGGTCTGGTCTGATATGGTTTGGTCTGGTCTGGGACTGAAAACAGTCTAAAAGAAAACATCCTAAGACGTTACATAAAATAATAACTTCACTCGAGAATTAAAGAAGTATAACATTTTCCACAAAAAAAACTAGAGAATAGGATTACAAGTAAAAATCTTATATTAGAGTACATTATACTAATTATTGATACAATTACACATATAATTTTGTATTTTATTTTCAAAATTTGGAAATCCACAAGAGCACTCTAGAACAAAGAAGATCTGGCACTAATTGAGTCTCATTTCAATCAAAGATGTGTATCATCATTGAAGAGACACTATATATAATGCATTAGAAATATTGACTAGAAGTGATTATACATTTATACATTAACAATGTAGTAATTGTAGAAATAATTACAGTAACCACTTAATTTTATTTTTATCCATACATTTGAATAACCAGATAAATAAAATTGATAATACATAGCATGTAATATAACATCTCCGGCATATTATACTTCATCCATCCCAATTTATCTGTTCAACTTTTCTTTTTGAGTTGTCACAAAATAAGTGTCATGTTTCCCTTTTTGAAAAGAAATATGTGGTCCATATCATTCCACTTTATTATACTCAAATTTCAACCGCAACTTTAATTTTACCTTAATTTGCAACCACTTTATTAAAAATTGTGTCAAAATCAAAGGAGACACATAAAATGGGACGGAGGTAGTAGCATTATCGAATGATGACACAACATTTTTATTTATTACTCTTTCCGCCCTTTACAATTTTGACATTTCTCCTTTTTGAGATGTCCAAAACACCTTATAATTTTTTTATTTTAATTAATCAATATGTGGCACCCGTTATTCTTCCTCATTTGCATAGTTCAACCACATAATTTTAAGATGGCTAAAGGATCAAATAGTCCCTTGAACTGACTTAAAGTGTTCAATTAAACAGCGCAGTACATTTCGGAAAATCATTTGATTGCCTTCCCGGTTGAATTTTTAGCTGAAATTTGGTATGGGTAAACTAGACTTAATGAAGAAGATTCTCAAAAAATTTCATCAAAAAATTGTACCGGGAACCGTCCCAATTAGCGACGGCCGAGCAGAACCTCCTATATAAGGGGTTAATTGAACACTTTAAGTAAGTTCAAGGGCCTATTTGACAGCCATATAAGATTTGATAAGATATTTTCATTTTTTTAATTTTTTTAATACCCCATACAAATAAAGCGCGTAGTATTTATATGCATTCGCATTCCTCTTCATCTCTGATCTGCTAGCTCATCACACTAAAACTAAGCTGTTAATAAATAATAAAGGCCATATAATGCTGCCATCTTTCTCATCTTCACTACCCTTTCCGCCCTTCAACCACAGAAAAAGTAGAGAAACCAGTGTGAACAAATCAACAGCAGCATGTGCTACGCTCTCTTCGTTTCTTCAACATGAATCATCATCTTCATCATTATCATCATGTTCCAATCAGAAAACGCCATCTGTACATACCCAAAAACCATCATCATCGTCATCCTCATCATCATCGACCAGCAGGTATAAGTTAAAGGGTATCGGCAGCCGTCAAGTAGTAGTGGAAGAAACCGATGAAAAGGTAGCGGCAACGCCGCCGCCGGCTGCGGTGACAGCCACTGCTCCTAGTCCCGGCCATGCTTTCATCTCTGATCTTCTTGATAAGTATGAGGTCCACAGAATATCTCTATTGCTTGACCACTACATAGAGACTAGCTGCGACGACCGCCGCCGCCCCGGCAACGGGAAGAGCGGAAGGAGTAATGTGAAGAAGAAGCCGCCGCTTCCGCCTGTGGGGTTGTGGCTGATGAGGCAAACATCGCTGTGTGGGTCCCGCACGACTGATGTGGTGGAAGAATCTACTGCGCGAAGTATTGGAATTGGCGGCTGTTCATCTTCCCGATGGCTACTGAGGCGGTAGATATATACGGAGTGTGTACGTATAATTGTATATGGCGTAGAATCCCGTAGATTATGGAAAATTCTACCGTGTCAGGATGTTTTCTTTTGGACTGTTTTCAGTCCCAGACCAGACCAGACCAGACTTAAACAGACCAGACCAGACCAGACCAGACTTAAACAGACCAGACCAGACCAGACCAGACTTAAACAGACCAGACCAGACCAGACCAGACTTCCGTAGTTATAAAATACACAGAGACCAGACGTTTACCAGACCAGACCAGACCAGTTCAGACCAGACCAGACCAGACCAGACTTAAACAGACCAGACCAGACCAGACCAGACTTAAACAGACCAGACCAGACCAGACCAGCAAATTTCAGTCCAAAAGAAAACATCCTCATTCTTAACTAGTGTGGCACTCCGGCCATGCCAGGTATTGTTAATTTGATACTCCCTCTGTCCCTAATAACTTTGCCAAATTTGACCGGCACGTGGATTAATAAAGTAAAAACTGTGTGGTTGAGGTTTGTGCAGAGGAGAGAGAGTGAACTAAAACCACAAATTCTTTACTTAAATGGGAATGTGACAAAGTTAATGGGACATCCAAAAAAGGAAAGTTGGCAAAGTTATAAGGGACGGATGGAGTATGAGTTTAGATGAGAAGTATCAATAAACATTAAACATTGTGAACTAATTAATTTAAGGGATGAGATCAAAAGTGATGAGTCTTATTACTTATTTTGGTTATTATAGATTTTGTCTATTTGTAATTTTCAATGGTTGAAATTTTGTTTGCTCTGGTCTATTTATCTAATTTAATATGATCTATTTAATCAATCCAATTGAATTCAAACGAGACTAATTTTATTATAAAAAAAAAGATGTTTTAGAGTCTGTTGGTGATCTTATTTTGGGTTTATCCATCTTATCACCAAACCTTTTTACCTGGAAACATAACTTTTGAATTTGCGCATTGAGTTGTGTAATAATTAAAATAAGTAAAGTTGGATCTACTTTTCTGAAGTTATTCTAAAGAACTATTTTAGCTAATTTTCATATAATTTTATCTTTATTTTATTAATAAATATATATTTTAAATATATTTTTTCGTAACTCACCAGAATCAACCAATCCAACCAGGAAACCACTTCAATCAAAATTTCATAAATTTCACTAGAATCAGCCGGCTTAGTCAATTTCAATTTTACCAAATAGTCTCTTAGTAGTAGTGATGCATTGAGTGAATATATAACAGTGGTGCACCGAGTAAACTTGGATTAATTAAACGTTTTAGTGGTAGTGATAATAGAATTTTTATTAATATATAATTTATATTATATATTTTTATGCACCGACTAACATGTCATTGATGGACAGTCTACCCGGGGGTGTCTTATCCGAGGGTTATTGTGGGAATAACTAGAGAGAAGTCAGAGCAAATAGGAGGAGAGAGTGTCGATTTTATTAAGTGAACTCGAGATGTGGAGTTGGATCTGTTTACAAGGAGAAATGGGCTGCTATTTATAGCAGCAATAAATGCGATGAGAGTACACGTGTCAGTAATCCAACGGCCGAGGGGTCACATCAGCCGGGTGGCACCGGCAGCGGTACGTTCACCGCATTGAATGCGGTTGGCGGATGTGACGTGGTATTAAATGCGGTGGTTGGCTGTCTCCAAAAGGAATCTTCGATGATTGAGCATGTTTGGCCGAAGGCTCCTTGTGTAGCTGAGGGCTCCATGTGACCAAGGACCCCTGTGTAGCCGAAGGCCTTGTGTGACCGAAAGCTTGGTTCAACCGAAAGCTTCCCTGATACCGAGGGCTTGATAATGCCGAAGGCTCATGTTTTTCGCCGTTTTCTCCCAGTAACTTCTTATGCCAGAGAAGGCTATCCTGTGAGTTTTGGAGCCTTCGGCCAAGGAGGCCGAAGGCACCCCAATGTGTATTCTGGGCTATTTTGAGGCTTGGGCCGCCGCATTTGGGCCTGAGTTGTTCTCTGGGCTCAATGGACTTGTGTAGGAGAAGTAGGAGTCTATGGGCCGGGGGTTCCTGGGTCATATACTCCATCAGTCATTGATTTATAATTCAATTTTAATATATAAATAATTACTTTTTATTTTTATATATGCAATATTGATGTCATATGAAAGCTTTTTTGTATCATATGAAAGAAAATACTATCTTTCACTCTTCTTTTGAGGTGTTAATTGCTAACTTAATTAAGAAATAGCAAGTTTGTTTTTATTAAAAGAGCATAGGCAGAAACTTTCATACAAATCTTTATTTTGGGAAAGAATAATTAAATTATGAATAAAATATGGATCTTTTTTATATCAACTAAATCCAAGTAAATTAAAAGTTTGAGTATGAAGGATGTTTTTACTTAGACTCTTTTCACTATCAGACCAGACCAGATCAAACCAGATCATACCAGACTTGAACATTTATAAAATACAAAGAGACTAGTAATTTACCAGACCATACCAGTTCAGACCAGAACAAAAAATCAAACCATAAAATTCCAGTCCAAGTAAACATCCTAAATGCTTAATTTTATCCATTTTAATTAATAGTTAAATTAAAAATAAACTTTAACCTTAGGATGTTTGCACCAACTAATCAAACGTCTTGCAATTCTATATATGTTTGTATTAAGACTATGCACATTTAGGTAACCAAGCACTCCAGCCTAGCTGGTTGCGAGATTACCGTGCCTAGCGAGAGGTCTCGTGTTCAAATCCCGCTAGGCACACAAGGGTGTGAAACTCAATGGAGTGAGTTTCAGCCCTGATTACTCCAGGCTTCCCCCCAGCCCCCCTCCCCCAGACCCCCCCTGGAGTAAAAAAAAAAAAAAATGTTTATATAGAGTTTATAAATGTTTATTGATTTTATATGTTTCATCATTTGCATATATAGAGTTTATAAATGTTTGGTTGATTTTCAAAAGTAATAATATGTATAAGTGATGAGTTTATATCATAGATCGAGCTGCAAAGTATACCATTTAGGCCATCTCCAACAGTTTACACCATTTTTTACCCTAAAATGGTGTAAACATCACATCAAAGAGTATTTTATCTCCAACAGTTTACACCATTTTCATCACAAAAAAGGAATATTCTCTTTTTATTCTTTTTACTAACTTTTTACCATTCTTCTATTTAAGTATCTAATTATCATATATTTATACATTAGCCCCTCATTTAATATTTTGACATTTCACACATTATTTCACACATAAAAATTAAAATACACCATTTTAATATGTATTTTCACGCATTTCACTAATTAAAATACAATAATCAATATTTTACAAATACAAGCTAAAAGCACATAAAATTAAATATTACAATAATATTATTCTAGACTTGGGTAATTATAAAAATACAAAGAAATCAGACCAGCCCACGTCAGTTCAGACCAGACCAGACCAAACCAGCATAGACCAACAAATTTCAGTCAAAGTAAAACATACTAATTTGTTGTTTTAAAAATGGGTCAAAACTATAACAATCAAAACTTTGGGTCACATTTGAAATAAAAAAAAAAAAAAAGTGGATGGCGTGAGATATGGTGTACGCCATATTTGGTGTAAAGCAAAAGCCTCTCCCCCAAAATGGTGTAATGGTGTAGGGGATGGTGTGACTATTGGAGCATTTTTTTGCCAAATCCACCATTTTGTTGTAGGATTTGGTGCTACTTGTTGGAGTTGCTCTTATACACGGAAAGTGTTACATTCAGCTCTAGATAAGATTTATCTTAAACTTTGAACTATTTTTTCTCCTAATCGGCTCTTGTTATTAAATTAATGTTATAATAATTAAGTTTGTTATCCAATCAATGAATGGCACATGTGCATTTTATAACTCAGCTTTACTATATAAAACAATAGATTGGTAGATTCTATGGTACTCTTAAGGTAGCGGAGTTATCACCTTCTTAATTTCAAAGACACCGAAACCCAGGCTTTGAAGGCCAATCAAATTATGCCACATCACCGTCGTATATTAATATACTCCGTAGTAATGTTTGATTTTTCAACCATGTTTATGTACCCACTCTTATACTCACCTTATACTCATCATGTTTGTGAAGTGTTTTTTTTCTGTGAACCCGGTTCACATACAATATTTTGTTTGTGAAAAATATTGTTGTGAACCGGGGTTTAGAGAGAAAAAAAGACATCACAAACATAGGTGAGTACAAAAGTGAGTATAAGAGTGGGTACTAACATAATTTTTGGTGATTTTTTAAGAAGGGTCACTGATTCACCCGGGGTCAGCCCTAATATATAAGACTATTTGTAGTTGTAAGACCATTTGTAGTGGTTAAGAGTCCAAATTGTTAAATTTGTACTTTTGAATCGGAGTTTTTCCCCAATTAATGTTAAATAAAAAGATATTTACGAAATCAAGACCGGCTTAAAAAATCCAAAATACTGCTAATTAAGACAGATCATGGTTAACAAAACCACCGATTCAATTAATTGGCTGCTGAGGCAAAACAAGAACACATTATCATCGAAGGGAAAAATTGGAGAAAGTGACGTGGGTCCTGTCGGAAAAAAACTTTTTGTTTCAAAGTGTTATAATTTTTTTATCTGTATTTTGATTGTTACAAAAAATAGATCAAAATTTATAATTTTTATTATCTTTCATATGACACCAATATTGCATATACAAAAACACTGTTTAAAAAATTGCATTTTTAAAAGTGCTACAAAATAGTTCACCTTTGAAAAATAGTTCTATTTAAACTTAAAATGAGTAAAATATTATGCAAAATATTGACTATATATAAAACATTAAACATTCAACCCGATCGAGTATTGTTTAAAAACAGTTCACCTTTTTTATTGTATATATAGCTATGTTTTGACAGCTGAATTATTTGTTGGGCTCCGCCACTCATAATCATCGAAGAACCATAATAAATACGGATTAAAATTATTCGAATAAATGAATTTAGGACAACATACTAATCATGTCCTCCATAATTACAGACCCATTGTGCAATTAGAGAGGGCAGAGATAAGGTGGATTAAAATATTTCTAAGAATAATTTTGGTCTACTTAATTATGCGACGAGGAATCGTCAAGATTTCTTGAGTAAGGTCTTAGCATAGAAGAATGGAGAGGTAGCCATCTCCACCTCCTACAAGATTTGATTTCGGAGCCTTTTCTATTTTAATCAACAAGAGTTTTGGAAGAATTGTGTAACACCGTCCCCAGATATATTTACTTTTATGTAAATAATGTATTGAACCTTATTAAAGGATTAATGAATTTACGAAGTTGTAAATTTTTATTATTTCTTTCGCGTGAATAGTAAAATGCACGTGGGACCCACACCGGGAGCGGGGGCCGCCCGATATTCCCGAGATCACATAAATTATTCTTATGGGTCGAAATAATATTTATATAGTGGTGGACATCTTATTTGGGCCATGGAAAGGCCTGGGGTTGACCGATTGGTCAAAAGAAGCCCAATTACCGGTACCAACAATTTAACAGATAGCAGCCCAGAAATGAATTTCGGAGACTTCCAAATTAAAGTTTTGGGATATATATTATTTCAAAGGGGCGTTATGATTGAGGACACATAATATATTTTATTTTACCCAATAAAATATGATTAAAACAGTCCGAAAAATACAACTTTCGAGACCAATTGTACACACCGGGACACAAAGGGATGACCTCCCACATGAGTGGGGGCAACCCCACGTTTTTTTGTGCTAAGTTAGACAAAGGGGGCTGGGTTGAACAAAAGATATGGAGAGGAGATGCATTTGGCATCAAAGGTACAATAGGGAGGACCCATTCCCACATTATTTTGAGAGAAAAGCCAAAGAGGCTATCTCCTCACTCACCCACCCCATCATTTTGGTCAAGCCATCAAAGGAGGAGGAAAAGGAAGCTCTCAAGCTATTCTCCATTGCTGCAACTCGAGCTCAAGCAAAGGTATAGAAAGGAAAATCTAGGAAAAAGTGTGAAAATTAAGGTAATAACCTTGTCATAACTTTTCCTTTATTTTTCTTATATCATGTGAAGGACTCTTGGTATGGTTCCACATGTTATGAGTATGGATTTATGGGTTGGAAGATGGTTCTATGTCCAAGAACGGACTTAGGAGCCAAAACAACCGGTTCACCGGAAAATAACCTTTTTGAGGTTATTTGTATTAATATGGGTTTTATGATTATAAAACCTTGTTAGGAACTTGAGTAAGGTATTTCAAGAACTTTCACAAAGTTGAAGAATTCGCCGGAGTTGTCGCCGGAGTTCATCAAAAGTCGCCGGAGTTTCGCCGGAGTTCAACCAAGAAGGGTAGAACTTCATAGCGCTAATTCGAGGTGAGTGGACGGCTTAATATCTTATAACTTTTGGGTTAATTATGAGATTACCTAAATAAATGTTATATGTGTTCATAATGATGTTTAAAAAATATTTAAACATGCGATTAGCCAACATGATTAAGTTTGTATAAAAGAAATTAATTGTTTATGCATGGAATATGATATGAAGAATTATATAAAATGCACATTTGTTTGAAGTGTAAAAGAAGCACAAATGAATATTATTAACTTAATTATATGATGATTAAGTTGATATGTACAAGGCTTGAAATGGCGGTCAACGACAACGTTGACCGATGGATAATGGATTAATTAATATCGGTTGATATTAGTTAATTATAAATTTATATAATTGCATGGTTTGCAGGGATTGTGATACATAAGCTTTATGTATTGAATTAGTTATGAATGACTAAGTATGATATAGACTCTATCTAGGTTGATAGGAGGTTGATCATAGGATTATATTTTGGTGGAGGACCCTAGGACTTAAAAGTCCTTAACACTCATATTTTAGTGGAGGACCCTAGGACTTAAAAGTCCTTAACACTCATATTTTGGTGGAGGACCCTAGGACTTAAAAGTCCTTAACACTCATATTTTGGTGGAGGACCCTAGGACTTACAAGTCCTTAACACTCATATTTTGGTGGAGGACCCTAGGACTTACAAGTCCTTAACACTCGTATTTTGGTGGAGGACTCTAGGACTTAAAGTCCTTAACACTCGGATAATAAATTGGTGGAGGACCCTAGGACTACAAGTCCTTAACACTCGAAAATATATTGGTGGAGTACCCAAGGATTATGATCCTCAAAACTCATAGGTTATGATAT